GATCCGTCCATCAAGCAGGGTTGACTTTCATTGACGGACACCCCACTTTCGGACGGACACTTTCCGGCCTTTTGATCCCAAATCGATATCCCAGCCCTCAATTAAGCCATGGGCGTCTCTGGATTGCACAGGCCCAAAACAAGCTGACAATCGTGGTTTGTCAAAACCAGTGGTTTCCATTTTGGCCATTTTAAGGTGGGCGGACTTCAATTCCCAGAATTCCTCAGCCAGCATCCTTCTTAAAGCCTAACATCTTAAAGTAGGCCGGCATGGGGATCCTGGGACTGTAAGTCCTCCCCTCTTAAAGCATGACTGGGTGGGGGATTCTGGAAGTCCTCCCCTCTTAAAGCTGCTGAGTTTGAAAAAACCTGGCTTAAGAATGTTTCATCCCACCCTACTTTACAGCATATTTTGCTAAAATAAGATTCCCCCCCTCCCGCCGCCGCCAATTTCTTGCCTTTCGTTGGAGCTTTCTTGTCTAATTACCTGCCTGACTGACAGCCCCTTCTGGTTATTTCAATAATCTGGATCTTTTCGTTTTTATGCGTGAGAATTTCAAAGTAGATAAACTGATGCAAAGTGAGAAGCAGTAAGAAAGAAAACATTTAAAGTGCCAGAAATGAATGTTAAAAGAAAAAAAGAGAGAGAAATGAAAGAAAAAGAGAAATCAAAGGCCAAAGTGAAAGAGTGGAAGAGAAAAAGGGAAATGAAGGGGAGAGGAAAGGAAAGGAAAAAAAATCACACAGAGAGAACTAATAGTGGCAGAAAGAAAAAAATGAACTTTTTTTTAAAAAAAGAACCGAAAAGAAAAAAAAACTACCAAGAACTCACTTCGAATTTTCTTTACATCAGTTAATCCTGTCTAATCCTCAAGGCCATCAATCATAACTTTAACCCCCCCCCCCATTTTCTAGAACAACAAAGTCCATAAGCGATTTTCAAGCAGCAATAAACAAATATGGATGGATTGATGGATGGATGGATGGATGGACAGACAGACAGTTAGAAAATGAGAGACAGACAGACGAGACAGAGTGATAGATAGTAGATGACAGATAGATGATAGATGTATTGATGGATGGATGGATGGAGGTAGGGAGGTAGATCTCTCCCTGCCATATGTATATACAGTATATATATATCTATTCTCGACTCAAGAAAAAAAGTCAATTTAGCCAGATTTCCGATCTTTCTCCATCTTCCAGTCATGGAAATTTCCTCTTGGGCCCCCAAAGAAAAGCATCAAAGCAGAAACAAACGACTTGCAACAGAACGCCGGTTATTCAGCTTGGCCGATGTTTGGTTCCATTGCAGTTGAATCAAAATTTTCCAGCCGAGGTTAGCAGAGAGGTTTTTATTAGTGGTTTATTTAGCAAAAGGGGAAGTGTGGGTGGACAAGAGTTAGTCGTGTACAAGGCTGACGTACAAAGCGGAAGGAGTGAACAGAGGCAATTGTTAAAAGAGGTTTTTTTTTTTTTTTTACAATGAATTATTGCAATAAAGCAGTTGAATAAATCAAGCGTGGCTCCTTTAAGATGGGCGGACTTCAACTCTCACGATTCCCCCATGCTGGGGAATTCTGGGAATTGAAGTCCACTCATCTTAAAAAAAGGCCACATTTGAAAAAAAAAATTCCTTTGGGATAAAGACACAGTGATTTTACAAGGCCGCTCTGACCCCACGGCCCAAAGCAATTTGCAAAAAGACAACTTCAAAAGCAATGGCAAGAAAAACAGACATTTTCCAACCTTTTTTTTTTTTTGTCCCCTGCGCAAAGGTGAGAATTATAGAGAATTATTTGAATTATAATATACAGATGCTCAATTTAGGCAAATGTGTTTTTTTTCCCTTCCCAAATTTAAAAAGAATAAACAACGAGGAGAAACTCAAAAACTATTAAAGCAGGGAAAATCGAACATTAAATTGAAAAGGAAAAATTAAAAAGGGGGGGGGGAGGAAATAGGAGATAATGAGATGGGAAGATGGAAAGGGAAGAAGTTGGGTTGGTTTGTCTCACGCAATCATCTCAAAAACTGTTTCTGGGGACAATTAGCCAGGATTCCTAGTTAGCCACGACGGGGCCCGAGTTGGATGGGTCTGAATGCTGGAATTCCTGGCTGTTGGGTGGGAGGGATGAACCAGGGGTGGGATTCAGCCGGTACAGAGCGGTTTGGCCGAACTGGTTGTTGTTACACCAGTGGAATCTCACCCCTGATTTTAATAAGCCCAGATAGGGACAAGAGTCCATATCTGAGATCTTCGCTGGTTTAAGGAGACCACGAAGTGTTGGAGGCATAGATTGTTTTGTGGAGATGATCATTTAAGATGATCAGTTGTCTTCTGCTCCAAGGAGAGGAGAGAGCTAAAAGGAGAGACCAAGGAAGAACTGCTTCAAGGAAGCCTTCTTGAGGAGCAGTTCTGAAGTTCGTGAGAAGGTCTCACCAGGATCGTCCCTGATGCTTGACCACGTCTTCTTTGGGTATGAAATCCCAACTACAATTCCTAGCAGACCCAGCAGTATTTTTTGAAAGCCATGTCATCTTCCTAACTTCTCGCTGGTCAACAGTCCACCTCAGAAGCCAAAGTTCCTTCACTAATCTAATATCCTTCAAAACCTTTGAGTTGGGTACACTATGGGTATGTTACTTGACACCAGAAACCTCAACTGTTGCCTGCCAACTGACCAACAGTGGAAAGACCATCTCTCTATCCGGAACATGAAGCCAGAATCCACCTGTTGAGCTCTTGATCCTACGTTTCTCCAGCGCATATTAAGCACCTCCAAAAACTATCTCCATGGCTTCCTTCTTGGCAGTGGTGGTGTTTGGGGGTGCTCGGGAACCCAAAAGCTCCATTAGCTCATCTACAACTTGATCGGCACCCTTTCCCGAGGTATGGCATCACCAATGAGGAGTCCACCATCAGATTCCTTCTATTGCTGCGCTCTTGAACCTTGGGTGGACTTCAGTGCCCAGGGTTCCCCCAGCCAGCCAAGAATTCTGGGAGTTGGAAGTCCATCCATCTTCCACCAGTTGAAGAAGAAGAAGACCACTTTGTTGTATGAACTTGGTGTGTAGAACCTCAAGAGATAGGCTGATAATTTAGGAGAACCCATCTTCTTTTACAATGAGGCAGAATAAATAATAGGACTTCCTACAACCGAGGAGGGCATGGCAAAGGGAAACTCACTAGGAACTGATGAAATATCAACCTTCAGGTCTAACAAATTAATCATTTCTTAAATGAATAAACGAGGAATAAACACCCCTACCCTAGGGGGAAATTTGTTTTTGTTCGAAAAACAGTGTTTGTTGGGATGGTGGATACTTTGTGGTGGGATATATTGGGCCAGCTTGAGGAAACTCCTAGGTAGCTTCTACGTTAGCAGGTCCAGAGAACCTGGGAAGGAGACCATACCCAGGAGAGCCTCAATGTTCAGGAGGACATCAAGCTTTAGGATGCTTCTGAATGCAGCTGGGAAGCTGGGCTCTTCAAGGTCTATACCATCTACATGTCCCTACCCAATGGAAGAGGAGAAGGCTATGATCATCCTTCAAATAAGGACCACCAAGGAGAAGTGAGCACTCAATCCCATGGCCTTATCAACTGAACGAGAACACCAAAAGGGAGATTCCCCTCTTCAGGTGGCCTGGATGTCTCCACCAACGTCCTACCTCAAAAGCTTCCAGGTCTGATTGTCTACAAATGTCCTATCTCAAAAACCTCTGGTCCTGATTTTCCACAAAAGTCCTACCTCAAAAGCTTCTGAGTCTCTTTAATGTCCTACCTCTAAAGTTTCTGGCCTGGTTGTCCACAAATATTCTACCTCAAAACCTAATGGATCTGGTTGTCCAGCATCTCAAAACCTTCTGGTCTGGTGGTCCACAAATATCCTACCTCCAAAGCTTCTGGATCTGGTTTTCCACCGATGTCCTACTTCCAAAGCTTCCAGGGACCCATGAGGAAGAAGCTACCAGCTCTCCAAGTCCTTCCAAAACTGAAGGATAATTTTGGCAGCTCAATTCAGCCTCCCTGGTACTAGATTTGGGGGGTGGGTGGGGGGCGTGTCTAAATTTAAGATTGCATTTTGCTCAAAATCTGGTCTAAATTTAAATCGCACTTCGCTCAAGATAGATGCCTAAAGGCAAAAGGGCTCTTGTTCCTTTTAATAGCAGTGCCCAACGTTCGCTCTCTCGCCCGTTCTCTCCGTCTCCGGGAGAAATACGAACCTTAATGGAAAATGCATCTCTGCAGAAACATTCGTCCTTTCCCTGCATAATTCATCCTAATGGCTCTCTCTCTCTCTCTCTCTCTCTCTCTCTGTGTGTGTGTGATTTGACTGACCCCACAATCATAATCAGCAAGTGCTGACACTTTCCCCATCTTTAGCTGTTCTGGATTTGAGTGAGCTCCGACCTTCATCAAGGGACTCAAACCACACTGTCTCTTGAACTGTCCCTTTTTGAGCAAATAAAATAGATCAGTAAAAACTGTTATTTATATATATATATATATGTCATATCTTTTTAAAAAGAACGACCTCGTTTGATGGAGAGGCTGAGAATTCCAAATTTAGGACTCGGAAAGAGATGGTTGTTTGGGCTATTTCCAGGCGGAGAGCAGACAGACAGCCAAATTACAAACGACAAGCTAAAAAAGCTCGGGGATCAAAGTTCCCGTCGTCGTCTCCTCTTGTCAGATTCATCATTTGGGGAAGCAATTCTGACAGGTCGGATTGTCGGCTTCCCTTCCTTGCTCGGCCCACCCGATCTGTTGTGCCTTGACTTGATTTGTTTGTGACAAGCCATAAAGAAGAATTTGCAGCAACACAACAACAAAATGGGAGCATGGACATCCCGGAACGAGGAAGAGCTTTCAAGCCACATTAAAATTGCACGAAGGCTTTCGGCTTTGATGCAGGGAGGACATTTAGGTCCAAGGTGACCGGGGAGTAGTTGGCTAAAAACAGGATTGCTTCTGGGAAGCCATCTTTGGATGACCTGCTTCTCCCAAATCGAAGTTAGGGAAATCTGAGATTGCTCGCGTTTCTTTCATTCTTTAAAAGAGGGACCCTAAAATCCATCTCCCGAATGTGAGAAAGCTGGACAAGGGCCCTTCTAACAACCGAGTCACCGCGGGGAGAGAGACAAAGGGGAAAAGGAAGGGAACAAGGGATGGTCTTGGAAGAATGAGAACCAAAAGGGGATGGAGGAAATTAAAAAGGGGGTCAGAAAAAAGGGGGAAGCACAAAAGCAAAGGTGCAGCTCGGATATCCGCCAGGCAGAATTGTCGGTTAGGTGAAAGAGTCTCGACAAGCACTGTGAAGGGGAAGGAGGGAGGGAGAAAAGAAGGAAGGATGGGAGGTAGGGAGGGAGGGAGGGAAGGAAGGAGAGAATGCAAGGAAAGGAAGGAGGGAGGAAAAAAAGGGTTGGAGGAGGTAGAGAAGAAGGGAGGAAAGAAGAAGATAAGGAGACAGAGAGGCAGGAAAGGAAGGGAGGGAGAGAATGCGAGGAAGGGAGGAAGGAGAAAAAGGAAGGGAGGAAGGAGAGAAGGAGGGAGGAAAGGACAGAGAGGGAAGGAAGGAAGGAAGGAAGGAAGGAAGGAAGGAAGGAAGGAAGGAGAGAATGGGAGGGAGGGAGGGAGGAGAAAAGGGGAGGGAGGGAGGAGATAGAGAAGGAGTGAGGAAAGAAGAGACAGACAGACAGGGAAGGAAGAGGGAGGGAAGGAGAGAATGCGAGGGAGGAAGGGAGGGAGAAAAAGGAAGGGAAGAAAGGAGAAAGAGAAGGAGGGAGGAAATAATAAAGAAGAGACAGAGAGACAGGGAAGGGAGGGAGGGAGATAAGAGAGAGGGAGGAAAGGAAGGGAAAGGGGGGAGAAGGGAGAATGGGAATGAGGAGGGAGAAGGGGAAGGGGAAGAGGAGGAGAAATGAGGGAGGAGGGAGGAGGAAGAGGAGGAGGAAAGGAGGAGAAATGAGGGAGGAGGAAGGAGGGAAGAGGAAGAGGAGGAGCATTGAGGGAGGAGGAGTCAGCCCACCGCAGATCTACCCTCTTCATTCTTCAGCCCCCACAATATCCAGGCAGGTAAAGGCAGAGCTCTTTAAAGGCAGAAAGGACAGGTGGCTTTTTTAAGTGCAGTGATGGGAAGCAAAAGCACGCGTGGTCTCTCGTGGAGAGCAGCCCCCCCTCCCCAAGGAGGAGGGGGGAGTCTAGGTTTCTATAGGAAGGAAGCGAGAAAGAAAGGAAGGAAGGAAGGAAGGAAGAGGGGGGAGGCAACAGGAGACGGGGAGGACATAAAAGCATTAAGTCATTAGTAAACATGAAAGTGGGAGGCAACGGCGCGGACGATCGGTGAGCAAGCATCAGCCCAGCAAAAGAGAGTAAGCAAAGAGGCAGGAGCTTCCCTAAAACAGCCACCAAATCAATTGCAGGGAACGTACAGAAGGTGGGATTAGTCTAGTCAATTCCCAACAAATTGGGGCGATTCATGTAGTCAATTCCCAATAAATTGGCTGGGATTAGTCAACTCAATTCCCAATGAACCAGCTGGGATTTGTGTAGTCAACGCCCAATGAACTGGCTGGGATTAGTCAATTCCCAAAAGACTGACTAGTCAATTCCTGAATACATAATTAGCTCTAACTAGTCTAGTCAATTCCCAGTGAATTAGCTGGGATTAGTGTAGTCAATTTCTAATATGTTGGGATTAGTCTAATCAATTCCCAATAAATTGGCTGGCATTAGTATAGTCAATTTCCAACAAATTGGCTGGGATAGTCAATTCCCAACACGCTGGGATTCATGTAGTCGGTTCCCAATGAATTGGCTGGGATCAGTCTAGTCAATTACCAGTGAAGTGACTGGGATTAATGTAGTCAATTCCCAACAAATTGGCTGGTATTAGTCTAGTCAATTCCCAATGAACCGTCTGGGATTAGTCTAGTCAACACCCAACTAACTGACTGGGATCCATGTAGTCAATTTCCATCAAATAATTGGCCAGGATTAGCACTCATGTACTGAATTCCCAATATGCTCGGAATCAGGTAGTCAATTCCCAACCACCTGGCTGGGATAAGTCTAGTCAATTTCCAATATGTTGGGATTTCTGTAGTCCATTTCCAATATTTTTGAAGACTGTTGGGAGAGGGAGGGACAGAAGCAAAGCTCTCCTTGGATTTTAATGATCGTGGTTACTGAATTCATACGGACATTGAAAGTTAGTCTAGGGTAGGAAATACAGTAGCCTATTTCCCAACTCACAAGTGTTATTAGACCCACCAGATCCATAAACCAGGAATCTATGATGCTGGGTGGTGGTGGTTTCAAACTCTTTGTAGGACCTTGCGAGTTCCAAGCAAGCAGATGTAGACCTCTTGTCCACTCCAAGATAACCCCAAAGCAGCAGCAATGGCCCAGGCCAACCTCCCGACATTACACACAAAGACAATGACAAAGCACACATCACAACTCCGGGACCCAGAAGGAAAATGAGAAGATAGAAGATCCTTCCTCCAACTATCAATGCTCGAGACTGTCTTGAAAGGTAAAGACCGGCCTTCAAACTCTGACCCTGTTCTGTACTTCCAAAGAACCTACATTTTTTTTTTGTTTGTTTTGCACCCATGTTAGAAGCACCGAGGCGTTTCAGCTCCTTTCTTTTTCCCGGCAGAAGCTGGAACTAAGGACAGGAACTCAACCCTGCCATCCATTTTCTAGAATGTCCTGGCCAAGAAGTCTTCAAACTCTGCCCCCATTTTCTACCCTCCAAAGAACCTTAGTATGTTTTTGTTTTGTTTTGCACTCGGGTTAGAATGGAAACAGAAGGCCTGCAGGCTGGATTCGGCCTGCAATGTGGTTGGACCAGCCCGCGGAGCCGTCCTCGAAAATGTAATGGGCCGGCCAGCATGGTTTCAGCCCAGTCTACCCAGTGGGGAGTGGTGTCAACCTGGCCACGCTCGCCCAGTTGGCCACACCCACCCAGTCAGCCCCACTGGCCTCCCAGGACCCTGATGTGGCCCTCAATGAAATTGAGTTTGACACCCTTGTTAGAAATATCGTGGTTTTTACCTGACCAGGAGCTGGAGCTAAGGACGGGAACTCAACCCTGCCGTAGGATGTGTCCATACTTTTTTTTATATAGATCGTAAATAGTGATGTCTATTGCTGGTCTAAGACCATAATAAAGTTATATTCTATATTCAACCCTGCCGTAGGGCAGATCTCGGATCTCAGATGTGGGCTTGTTAATCTCGTTCCAACCACTTGAACCACCCTACTTTTTCTTCCCAAGAACTGAGCTGGGCGTATTCTCCATCTGAAACTCAAGCTCCATTCCCAAACTTGGCTTTCTCTCATCTCCACCCCCAACCCAACCCCGAATAGGAACTACGAAGGAAGTGAGGAGACACCTGCGCATTTTGAGAAATGGATTTTGCTGAAGCTTTTCCCTCCTTCCGTACCTTGTGGAAGGCTGGGATTCTACTGGTTCAGACCGGTTCGAACGAGCCAGTTGTTCCAGGGATCGTTTGGCCCGCCGCTGTTTTATTCACCAGGGATACAGCAGAAGGTAAGTATGATAGCTAAAAAAATGGTCTTTTCTAAACGTGGTGCACGCACTCGCTCACCGAACCGGTTGTTACACCGGTTGAATCATACCACGAGGAAATTTTTTCCTACGAACCAATTTGGTGGCAAGCATCTCCCTAAGCTTAATTGCAACCCTCAATCTGTATTTTTCTAACACACAAAGAAAAGAAAAAAAAGCACAACCGCAAAGTTGTTGCTCTGCTTTGAATCAGCAGGCTTGAATCTGAGATCAACAAACTAGAGGATGGACCCTAGTGGGGTCGGGTGTTCCTTTCTCTTCCTTACTTGGGAGAATGACCTCAGAGTGGAGCTCTCGCCTCATAATCCGGAGGCTGTGAGTTCGATCCTAGGTAGAGGCGGATATTTCTCTCTCTCTCTCAGCACAATGGGAATGTATCTGCTGAACAAAACTCCGCCCTGGTGACAGGAAGGGGCATCCGGCCATTCAAACATTCTGCTAGCTCCATTCAGTTACCCAGACTCCACCCCCTCAAGGGATTATGGGACCGTTAAAAGAAAGTGGTGATGATGATGACTTGGGTGATGACCTCAGTAGAATTGGATATCCCTGATCTTGGTGGAAAGGAGCGAAAGAATAAGGAACATGGGACCTCTTAAAAGACGGACGTCTGCCCCATCTTTCTTCAGTGAGTTGAAGTACAGTAGGACAACCAATTTCTTCACTAAACCAAGTTCTCCAGATGTTCTTCTGCGACTGGATCACTTCTCTTCGAGTCACATCCTTAACTCTCTACCACTCTTGGGACCTTGGCCATCATCTGCTCCAACATGTCCCACATCCACCTAACTTATCTCTCCTCTCTCGATGCCCACGGCCACCACACACACAAAAACCTCCCAGGCCTCAGCTAGGCCTCCATTCTCTTACTCCCACTCACAAAATGGTTCCTCTTCAGAAATCATTCGCGGACAAACATAAGCTGAAGACCAGGGTCCTCAAAACGTTGGAGGAGACAACGCTAAGCTGTGTGAGGAACCAAGGATGACCCCTACTTAAAACAGGATCTCGTTGTCTCAACCCCTTCAGACCAGTAGATCCAACAACAGGAAGCCGAAATCCTAAATAAATAGTTCAGGGCGGGCCAGATCTCACAATGCTGGCTAGAAGAACCACAATCTGCTTCTTTTCCCAGTTGTGTTTTCCCAGCAGTCTGCGAAGCTGGCGGCAGACTGGGACAGTGAGGAGGTTGGGGGAGGAACATAGGCCAGTCCTGGAGTCTGGGGGAGGCTCAGACGAGGGCTCTGTGTCAGAGGCAGAGATGGGGCCAGGGCCGTCTGACAGTTATCAGCTGCCTTCGGAGTCGGAGATAAGTGGGGAAGAAGAACAGCTGGAGCCTGTTCCCAGTGTGCACATGCACAGAGCTGCCAGGAGAAGGGAACAGCTAAGGAACAAGGGTCAACACAGGAGTAAGGGCACAGGTGGGCAGTGAATGGCCCCTCCCAGAGGGAATAAAGAGGAGGTGAAAGGGGAGTGGGGTTTGCAGGAGACAATTAGTTTAATTCATTCGGGTGAAGATCTGTTCCTGACTTCTTGCCAAGTAATTGCTGCTACAGTGTGGCGTTTGGAAGCTATCGGCCTGGCAACTCTCCAAGGCCTGTAATTGTGAAATCTCATGAGAATGTTGGCCGAGACTTTGCTGGAGAGGAATTCCCTTTATAACCTAAATAAAAGGGGTTTTTATCGGGATGAGGAGTCGGCTTCATGATCTTGGGAAGCCTAGGTCAGAACAAGTTGGTAAGGCTTGAAGTCCATAGTGTTTGGTGACCACCAGCTGGAAGAAGGTTGGCCCAGAAAAAGACATCTACGAACACATCCTGGGATGGTGGAAGACTCCACAAAACCTTCGTTTTCACCAACTCTTCCCTTTAGTCCTTCAGGAAGGTGGCTGGCTAAAAAACCCCATCTCAAAACTGTTCTTCAAGGAGAAACCATGCACATTGACACAGCAGAGGGTTGGACTAGAAGACCTTCAAGGGCCCTTCCAACTCTGGAATTCTGTAAGGGTCTCTTGCTTGAGCGGAGGGGCTGGACTAGATGACTTCTGAGGTCCCTTCTGACTCAGTCTTTCTATGATTCTGTAAGGGTCTTCAGCTCGAGCAGCAGGATGGACTAGATGACCCCCAAGGTCCCTTCCAACTCTTCTATTTCTCTAATTCCGAATTCCAAAACTCACACTACACAATCCAACCTAGCACATCAAACTCTCTGTACCCAAAAATAGTGGGGTCCTTGACTTACGACACCTCATTATAGTGACCGTTCGAATGTACCATGGCACTGGAAAAAGTGACCCACAGCCATGTTTCACGCTTAGTGACCGTGGCAGCATCCCTGTGGTCATGTCCTCAAAAGGTCTCATATTTATGATGGTCGCAGTGTCTCTGACAAGCCAAGATGGTAGCCGGATTCACTTAACGACCAGGGGACTTGAGTTAGCAACAGCAGCGATTCACTTAAGGATGGAGGCCAGAAAGGTCTTAAATTGGAGCAAAATGGACTTCAGAGCATGGACTTATGACAGCCTCTGTTGTGGTCAGACCATGGAGTCACATGGTCATTAAGTGAATCCGGCTTCCTTCCTTTGCCAGAAGGTCGCAAAAGTGATTCCACTTTTGCAATGTCAGTGGGGAAGCCCGATTCATTTAACGACCAACTCACAACAGCCATGATTCACTTCACAACTGCGACAAAAAAAATTCATCAAACGGGGCGAAGCTGGCTTAACAAAGGTTCCTCTTAGCCACATAAATGCGGGGCTCAATTGCGGTCCTAACTTGAAGACTCTCTGTGTTGAGGTGTATCTTCCTCCTCACTGAATAACTGTCTCACTGAGCGACAGAAATTGTGGGCTCTACCGCCATCGTAACTCAAGGACTCTCTGTACTGAGGTGTATCTTTCTGCTCACTTAACAACTGTCTCGCTGAGCAACAGAAATCAAGGGCTCAATCACCATCATAAGTCGAGGACTCTAAGTACTGAGGTGTATCATCCTCTTCACTTAACAACCGTCTTGTTGAGTGAGAGAAATTGTGGGCTCCACCGCCACCGTAAGTCGAGGACTTGCCATAAGGGGTTTTGGGGGGGGGGGCGAAAAGCCGGTTTATGGTCCAAGAGGTTAAAAAAAAAAAATCTCTCATCACCTTATAAACAGAGAATAGCATTTCCTAATTCTCGGCATCAAATCAGTCCCTAAGAAGAAAATCCTTCCCAAAACGGAAAGGAAGAGTGTAAGCTATCGCTATTTTTAAATAAGCTGTCCTTAATGGGTCAGCTGGAAACCGGCTTTCGCTTGGGAGGATCACAGAAAGTCTCTGAAAAATATTGCATTTTTATCCCTTTTTATTTCAAGAGGCAACTGGAATTTTCTGGTTTTTTTTTTCCTTTGAAGAGGTTTCGCTTCTCCTCCAGAGAGGCTTTCTTCGGTTCTAATGGAAGGATGGAAGGATTTCTATTCCTTCCAGTCCTCTGATCGTTAGCCCTCTTTCTGAGAATCGTCACTGAGAGGCCTTTTCCATCCTCCACCCTTCAGTCAGAACTGAAGAAGCTTCTCGGAGGAGAAGCGAAACCTCTTCAAAGAAAAAAAAGAAAGAAAGAAAAAAAACAGCCAGAAAGGCCAGTTGCCTCTTGAAATGAAAAGCACCTTTGGGACAACTGAAAGTAGATTAGGATAGAATAAGGGAGGTGGGAGGGACCTTGAAGGTCTTCTAGTCCAGCCCCCTGCTTGAGTGGGAGATGCTTATAGAAAAACAGAGTTGGAAGGGACCTTGGGGGTCATCTAGTCTAGTCCAACCCCTGGCTTGATCAGGAGACCTTTACAGAAAAATGGAGTTGGAAGGGAACTTGGAGGTCATCTAGTCCTACCACCTGTTTAGGCAGCAAACCCTATACTGGGGATGAATGAGATGACTTTTTCATTTTTTTCTCCATCTCTTGACAAAATCGACATTTCGGCTCACAGAGTTGAGGATGGGGACAATTTCAAAAAAGGAAGGAAAAAAACCAGAATTCTTTTTTTTTTTCTCCTTTTGAAATTGCCCCCGTCTCAACTCCATCAGTCAAAATTATCGATTTTGGCCGGAGACGGAGAAAATAAAAATAAAACAACTCAACAGGTCAAAATCCAATGAAAAAGAAATCAGAATAAAAGTTTGATAGAACAGAGGGGAAAAAATTTCAAGGATTTTTTTTCTTTTCCTTGATTTTCCAGCGGGGTGGGGGAGAGAAAATTAAAACTGGACGTTTTATCCCGGTTTTTAATTTAACTCGAAAGGCGTCGAAAGGGTTCATTCTATCCTCAGAAGAAGTTGGAAGTTGTGCATGCAGCCAATCATCGATTTACGACCACAATGGAGCCCTACATTTACGTCACTAAGGGAAACATTTGCTCAGGGAGGCTTGCCCAAATGGTACAACCTTTCTGGGCCCTGTCATTAAGTGGAATCGCTGCTGCGGGGATGTTAGCAGCATGGTCACTAAGCAGTTCTGGCTTCCTGCTTCTCACTGCAGCCGTCATAAATGCGAGTCAGTTGCCAAACGTCTGAATTTTGATTGGGGGAATGACGCGATGGTCGTTAAGGGAAAAAAGGGGTTTTATCTCCCTGTTTTCAGTGTCATTAACTTTGAATGGTCACTAAACAAACTGTCATAAATGAAGAACTGGGCACGTGGTTTGTTTTTTATCTCCATCACTTGCAAGAGTCAAAATTTGGACTCGAGGATTTGAGGATGGGAACAATTTTTAAAAAGAGGGGGAAAACAGATTTTGTTGTTAATTTATTTTCCTCTTTTGCATTTTGTGAGAGGGAGGAAAATGGAGGTTTAATTCCCTAAACACTGAGAGGACTTTATGTTCTAGAATTCCTTAAACACTGAGAGGACTTCATATCCTAGAATTCCCTAAACACTGAGA